CCCCCCCCTGTCCCTTTCTCTCTCTGTCTCTTTGTGTGTTTCATCCTTCAGGACACAAACCTGCAAGTGCGCTCGTTTAACTCAAGCTGCCTCGACTTGCAACGTGAGTCTGTGAATTTGCAGGAACATTTACAGGTCTGGGGATCTTGTACAAACAAGTGCTTTCTCCTCTCTGAGCAAGGCTCACAGTGACTGCAAAAAGGCAAAAGGAAAGATGTCTAAGCTACAGCGCTTCAGCAGAAAGAAAATACACATGCAACACCCTAAACATCAAAGCAATCCCTCTGCCCCCTCCCGCAGCCCCCATGCTGCCCACTGGAGCGTCGCAGGCTGATGGATTTTCCAGCAGCACCCCGGCAGCCCCAGGACAGCACCCCCTTGCATTAGCGTAAAGAGAAAGAAAAAAGGCTCTCTGCACAGTATTCACAAATGCTGCATTGGATCCACCGGCACAGGCCAGAGGGAGGAAGAAGGGGAAAGCAAGGATGGGAAGGTGAGAGGTCCCAGCCAGCTATTGACATATCAATGAAAGGCATTCTCTGAAGTGGGCTATTCGAGTAGAAAGAGGCCAGCGGCTAAACGAGTTAAACAGACAGGGTCTCTCCTCCCCTGGAAAGCAACTGGGCTGCAGCATCACATGCTTACCCCTGCAGCCAGCACTGCCCTCCTTTCTGAAAGCCCCATCCCAACCTTGCCACTTAGGAGTGTCCTATGGAAGGGTCGTGAATTTACAATGCAGAATTCTGTGAACCACCGTGAGAGAGGCAGAGTGAAATGGACAGAGAAAGACAGGGAGAAAGAAGCCACCAAATCCAGCAGAAAGAGAGACGAAAGGAGAGAGCGAGCCCACCCGGCTCCCCAGCACCCCCTCTCCAGCTTCCCACCATCCCACCTCTCCTCTCCGCCTGTGACTCCACCAGACACGCACACACACGCACGCACACGCACACATGCATGGCAGATGCCAGCCTGCCTGTTGCCAGTCACCATAGCAGTGAGGGCACAAGATGAGTCAGGGGAAGCAGACGAGAGAGTTGCAACCAGAAGGTGCGGAAAAGAGGGCGCAGGGTGCTCGCCTGCCCACCCGCACTCTTGTGCCTTGGGAGAATTGTCACCACTGATGATTAGGAAGCCAAGCAAGCTAAAGCCACCTTCCCTGAGATGCCCTCAGTGCCAGAGCGGTGCCACCACCAGCGCTGCCCCTGCAGCCCACCAGTGACTGGGAGGGGAGGGTAAGATTTGCATGAGCAGCAAGCAGGCGGATTGCTTTGGGGAGAGGGAGGGAAGAGAGTCTACAAGCAGAGGACACAAACGTACAAGCTGAGTGGTTTGTACCGGCCTTTCTTGCGCTTTCTCTTTTGACCCTTCCCCTTTCCTCGCTTTGATTTTCTGGAAGAAAAACAAAACAAAAAAAACAGAGAAAGAGAGAGAGAGAGAAGGAAAGAAAGGGAGAGAGAGAGAGAAAACGGAAGAAAACGCAAGGAAGAGGAGAAAAAAAATACAGCCATGTGCCTTGCTGGGAGGGGGAAGTACATGAGGCAGGACTGGATGGCAGGTCCCAGGGCCGAAGCACAGATCTCCATCTCGCACACACATTCACTGGCCCTCCTGCGCTCCTGCCAGCACTGCAACCAGCCTGCCCACAGCCAAGCCAGTGCCAGGGGACTCAGCAGAGACCACCACTAGCAGGGCTGCTGCCAGCAGAGGCAGATCTGCTGCCCCTCCACATGAGAGGGGCAGTGGGGAAAGGACAGGGTGTGAGGGGAAGGAACAGAAAGCTTCATGAAAGCATCACGCAACCGCAGGGAGCGCAGACAACCGTTCCAGGCGACAAGCACGGGCGCACACTGACTGACAAGAGGGGCTCACCCCAGCTAAAAGGAAACTGCTCTGACGTGATGCACTGCCCAGTACCAGGCCTACGAGGGGGCAGCTGAGCTTCAACAGCTCTCCTGCCAGGCTGGTGGTGATCTTGCCTTGGGATGAGAGCAAAGGGGGCCAGGCCTCAGCACCCCGCAGACAAGGGGTGAGACCTGGTCTACACTGCAGCACTGTGTGTGAGAGGGCTATCTAGCCTGAAGGCTCTGCTTACCCACCCCACCTCCTGCATGTGGTATGGAGGGCTCCAGGAGACCTCATTGGATGTTTGCTAACATCCCCTCTGGCAGCCTCTATCCTGAGTACCAAAGGGGAAAGAGGGAGGCCTAACCTAGTTATGACACCCAGGAGATAACCAGTAAGCAGCTTTCAGATTTTCCCTCCTTTCTCTCCTTCCCCTTGCCTTCCACATGGATCTGCCAGACTGATGAGCAGACCGAGCCAAGGCATAGACTCCATTCTGAAAAATCCACCAGTTGCTCCGGATTCCTGGGCAGGCCTAGACACTAAACATGGATCTCTACAGGCCAGTAAGAGCACAGGAAGCGAGGGAGGCTGGAGCCTGCGCTGCTCCTGAGCCACGTTAGCACAGGACCAAAGGAGAGACATGCAAGGAGAAGGCCCTAGGCAAAGCACCAGGGCTTGTCAGGCAAGGGAGCCACAGCACTGCAGCAAGTTCAGCAAAGGCTCCCTCGTTCCCTGGCACAGCCCATCTCAGGAGGGAGCTGTGATGGGGACATGGGGGACAGAAGGGAAAGCACCATAGGTGTTTCTTAGGCCCTGTTCAAGTCGTCTCACTGGAATGAGTGTCAGAGCATCAGCTCGCTCCCAGCCTCTGCCCTACATGTCAGGAGTCACAGGGAGGCGGTGAGGGGAGGAAAATCGACCTGAAGGGAGGAGAGGGGCACCAATATAACAGGACTTTCAATCCAGCATAAATCAAAGCACACCAGTCTCTCCCATTCCTTCCCTTCCTTCCCCAGGGAGTGCAGAACCAGCAAAGAGCAGGCAAGGTGCTGTTAGAAGAGGAAAGGGAATGCAACACAGTCTGGGCTGGCTGCTTCACCCACATCCCATCCTCACCAGAGTTCACACAGACCCAACTCTCACACACCTTCAAACCACAGAGCCACGCAGACCGAACATCCCCAACACGGCCCTGCTCAGAGAGGAGTGCTGGCTGCACACAGCCCAGTGCAGCCAGGAGCAGACTTCCAAAGGGAGGAGGAGAGGCTGGAAGGCAGCTAGAAATACACAACCACCAGGAGAGGGATGAAAGAAGTTCTCTCACTCTCCAGCTTGCTCTCTGTTTCAGCCTCATCTCCCAGTATTCATTCGCTACCTCTCCAACTCGGCACCTCTGACCAGCAGAGCTGCTGCCACAGCCATGCACACTCCAGCTGACTCTCACCCAGAGAGGTCACTCTTTCTTTTTGATGTTGTTCCACATTTTGTGATCATGCCTGCAACTACTGCAGGATGAGAGCTTATTTCTCTGCTTTTCACATCGCTTTTTCTTTCGGGAGGAAGGAAAGGGAAGGTTGTGCCTTAACCTCCTTCAGGTCACAAGAGCAAATCCATCAGACTGAAAAAACTCTCACGAAAGCCTCCACCAAGACCCGGCTAGGATATCCACCTCCCTTTACACCCTCCTTGGCCTCCACCCAACCAAAACCAGAGTCACATCCTGCATGGCATCCGTCCTGCCTCCACCAGGCCTCTATTGCCACCTCTCCCTGTAGCCAGCAGAGTTCCTACCCAAGCTGCTGTGAAAGAAGCCAGCAAGTACTCACTCAAGCAGCATGAAAAAAATTAATAATAAAGAAAGGCAGTGATTTGCAGTAACCAGAAACACCCCAGGAAGAGGGAAGGGAGATTAGGGGCTGCACCTTGAATCCATTCTGGTAGGACACACGTGACGGGACTTCCCTGACTTGGGATAAAGCATTAGGAGTGACTGCCATGGCCGTGGGTCATGCAAGCTCCAGGACTGGGGTATGAAGGAATAACCATCAGATCTGGGTTTCTGTGCCCATCTGGAACGGATTCAGAGTGTCGCCCCATGCACTACCATATGCCATTTCCAAAAACACCTTCTCCAAGTAAGTATCTCCGATCAAAGAAAAGGGCAAGGCGCAGTGGGGAGAGGAAACACCAACCAACCACCAAAAGAGAAAGGAGGAAAGGCTTGTCACTTACTTTTCTTGTTTGTTTTTGACATCTTTCTTTGGTCTGTGGGGGAAGAGAGAACAAAGGCCTCATTAGAAGCAAGCTTACCACATATGCTTTCAGTATTATCCCCAGGTCCTGCCAAGTCCAAGGAAGGACATGTACAGCTGGCATTGCAGGATGCCCATGGCAGGTTTAGCGGTCCTTCTCAAAGTGTTTGCTCTCCGTTTGCACCTCACTGGCAGTCAGTGCCAAAAGACCCCAGGTTGCAGGCTAGCACTGTCCACGTATGATATCTGGAGATGGAGGAGCTGCGCCAGCAAATAACTTCTTTTCCCAGGCTCAGCCATCCCTCTGCAAACCAACTGAGGAGACTGCAGGAGCCTCTGGACAACAATCCCAACCCAACGGCAGAAAAAGGAAAGGCTCAGAATAAGTTTATTGCAAGAGGAACCAGTGCTGCTCCATTCTCACCTGCAGTCACATTTACTGTGCTGTAAGAAGCTCATGTGCGCTATGTGCTGACTCTGATGGGGTTTAATTCTCATGATCTGGAATGAAAGAAACAGAGAGGGTCACTGCCCGTTCACTCTTCATGTTCACAGCTCCAAATCAGCCTGCTGCACAGCAAAGCATTTGCACCCCCGGTGCTCCTGAGAAGAGCATGGCAGAGTTTGAGCTGGCTTTGGGGCCTCATTCTCCCAGTCAGGAAGGCCTTTGATCACAAGCAAGTGGCAACACCAGACTCGTGCCAAAGCTCTGTTTGCTCACGCATGCAAGGTGCCAGCACTGGTGGACTGCCTTGGAGACCGGCATGGGAGAGGGCGTAACACCATAGCAAGGTTCTCACTGAGCTGTCCCTGGTTGATGCTAGAGACAGTAAAGGAGCATCCAGCCTGCTCTCATGTAGAAGCATGTTTCAGTTTAACACAAGGGCCCAAGCAAAAACTCCATATCTGACTCCTTTTGCCTACACCACCATTCCTTCCCAGCTGACATATCACTTTTTCAGTGACTCAACACACAATGTAAATCTGGTCATCTGTGCTTAAAAGCAGCCCTGCAGAGCCACACACTGTCCATCAACCAGCCCCAGGTGCCTCCAGGGTAGTTATATTAGAAGCTATGCATGTATCTCAACCCAGAACCTGACTGAACCACGAGCTCTAGCATTTGCACTGGAGATCTGTTCAAGTGTCTCTGACCCTTCCAACCATGCACGTATATCAGCCAAAAGCTGTGATTCAGCAAGGAATGATAGGAAGAGGCCTATCCCCAGCTACACCATGATCAGGCCCAAGCTAGAGCCTGCAAGTGGAAAAGCAGTATAGGGAACCATGGAAGGACACCGACAGATTCTCCACCAGAGTTCAAACACAGCTCAAATGACACGTAAAAAGAGCTTGCTAGTTCATTGCTTAGTCCTGCCTGTCTTTCATCCACATCAAAAAGTGATGGCAATATTCACAGTGGTCATTCAAGAGGCTTAGGGACAAAAGTAGGTGACGGAGCTATGGGGGTTAAGGTAATGGAAGCAGCACCACTGTGAATACAAGTTAGGATCCAGGCTGTAAACAAGGGAGGTGACAAAGCTCTCTAAAGCAGAGTTTGCATCTTCCCCACGTGCCCAGTCTTTGCTATCACAGCCATCTCAGTCTCTTCTAAGGAACGAATTCAGCAGCCTCCAAACAAAGGAGGATGCCCAGAGGCAGAAAGGCTTTTCCACTTGACACTGAAGCAGTGTGTTTCTTAGAGCCCCTTTCCACCCCTGCTGTGCCAATGTAGCTAATGACCCAAATCCCCCGCTCTGTTGGTAAAGGCTGACCTCACATGCCCTCCAGGAGAGAGTAGTGACAGCCTTTTCCCTCTTGCACTACTCAGCTGCCTTCAGATCAACAGCTGTGTGGACCAAACACAGAGTGAAGATGCAGCAGGGGCCCAAGGAGTATCTTCTTTGAGGCCTCAGAGATAAGAGCATCAGAAATGCTCTCTTGCACTTTCTTAAACATGAAGTGGTCCTTTGCAGAAAGCTCCTTTGCGTGCTCCTAGCAACTCTATTTGGGCACTGGTGAAGTCAGAGCCAAAAAACCAGATTCTCCCCTTAGCCTTGATTAGACATGAGCAACTCATCTTTTAACCCTGCCTGGTGTAATGCTGGGCACAAGGGTCAGGAGACAGGTGAGTCCTCCTGATCCAACCATCTCCAGTTCCCTGTGGTAGGGTGCCCTTCCTTTGAATTAGCTGGGAGCTTAGACTCGGAGTGGCTGTGATGGCTGACTTGCTTCCTTGCACCCAATCATGCCAGCTTGCAAGTTGGGCCCTCACCTCCATCGTGACGTTGTACACATCCACAGGGACACATTCTAGGCCCTCATCGCCGCAGCAACCCGCACATCTCATCAGAGGCACACAGGATGGCTTGAATATGTACTCCACCTCATCAGGGTACTCCTGGAAAATGTCCACCAGGGTCTCAATTGTCCTGCAGAAGCTGCGCTCATAGACTTCCAGGAATTTGATAACTAAAAGGAGGAATGGAGGGAATAAGTTAATGCAAACTTAGCTCAAGAACATCTAGTGCTTCACCCCTTAAAATGAGACAGACAGTTGCAACACATCTACCCTATGCTCTTCACCAACAGTCTTGCAGGCCTAAGTCCTTTGTCTCTACCCCCTACACACACACATAAACCAAGTGGGGAGAGAAGGAGACAATCTCTTCCTACTGCTGCTTCAGGGCAGAGGCAAAATAGACCACAGCCTCACTATATTCCCTGCTATCCATATACTCTTGGATATGCTGTTACTAAGCATACTAGGTCAGCCAAAAGGCACCCGCGGCTGCTGAAGATGATCTGTACTCTAGATTAAAACCCTTCACCAATTTGACTTTTATCCCTTTTCAAAACAGCCAGTGGATGCCCCAGTGGCTTTTAGAAGGTACGGGGATAAGCCAGAAGCATCCTTTCTACAGCATTCAGAGCAGAGACCCTTCCAAGAACAAGCAGAAGGTTCTGAACCATGCATTCACATATCTTCACTCTTCCTGTCAGCCAGTTTTTTTGCCTATGCAGAACATGCACCTCAACAGGCCACCTCAGAACCACGACAGCACTTGCTACAAGTCACAGCCTCCATGTCTCCACACTGATCACTTTCCCAGACCAAGGAATCAAGCCACCCACTGAAAGATTCAAAGCAAGCCCACAGCACCCCCAGGATTAACCAGACCATATACTTGGCTACCAGACCACAATGAGGCAGTGTGGGAGGGGGAAGAGGGTGGATCTGCCGTGATCTCCTGCCTTCCCTCAGAATGGAGCAAACACTAACTGCTTGCGATCTGCACTGATTTCACAAGCATTTCTCAATGTTTCCCAGTCTCTTGCCAAAGCTTCATTTTGCTGCTTGGTCAAGGGTTGGAGAGAATTAGAGATGAAAGATAGGATAGATAAGTACACGCACACAAAACCCAGCTGCTAGTACAGTTCTGCAAACACTGAGTACCTGGAGCCCTCCAGGCCTCTCAGCTCTACCAGCACGCAGGTAAAGGAGGATGTCTTAAATGGAGCAGAGGATAAGAACACAGACAAAGAGATAGTACCTGCCCATGCTGTTATGGACTGTAATGATCCACCTGTACATGTGGAGTCCTACACACCAAGTTTGATAACTCAGAGTGATAAGAGCAAACTGCTTGCATCATGGAAAAAAATGGTCTCCAGTAAGCGTTTCTAAAGTGCCCTGAACTTGTGACAAGCTGGCATAAAGGTTACTTTGCCACAAAAATGCAAAAGCTGCAGGCTTGGAGCTCATAGCCTGCAGTTAATTGCTGAAAGTTAATTCTAGGTCATGCAGAGCTGACAGTGCTACAGTGCTGAGAGTGGGTACAAGAGGGGAGGAGCTTCCATCCAGGGAGTCTGAAGTGTCAGAAAGCCTGAGCAGCTATTAAAAGAGAAAGTGGCTTGTGAAAGGGAAACGTAGCCTGGCAGGCATGGACTGCTTGTTGGTATTCATCATCTAGAAGACAGCATGTTTCTGTTCCTTGTCCCTTCCATTCCTCTTCCCTCTTCTCCTAACTGTAGTATGCCGCCTGTCTATTCTATCTTGTCTGTGGCTACCTCCTTCTTTCTGTTCCACTTCAGAGTGACCTTAGCCACCACCTATATTCCAACAAGCTGAACAATTTAATATGTGAGAAATGCTGCAGGCACAATGACAGTCACTGAACTGTACTGTTGATTATTCACACTGTGCCAGCAGGAAGGATCTGGGAACTCTGGCAGAGAAGGCACAGTTCTGGACAAAAATGCTTACAGACCTATGTCAAGGGGAGGGAGGGAAGAAAAGAGGGAGGGAAAGCGGCAGTTACCTGTGCAGATCAAATGCTGCTCACCGCAGTAGTCTGGGGCATAAAGGAGGCAGAAACCGAAACAGAGTAGAAAACTGAAGTGAAACTGATTAATGTCTGCCACGCTTCCTAAATGTTTGGACTGCGCAAGCAGCTGGATTACACCGGAGAATACAGACTAAAGACTGGCCACTGAACAGCACATTCAACTTCTTTAGCAGAGCCTTTCATAGTTGCACCCTGATGACTATACTTGAGATCTGGGAGATTTCACAGGACCAAATCCTTCCCATAAAGAAGCTGGGAGATTTTGCCCTTACTTTAACATATGATGATTTTCCGAAGTCTGACTCGCCTCTGAAAAGGAAAAGGGGAATCTTTCTCCAGCTGCCAGTCAGAAGAGCCTGCCATGGAAGGCTTTGATTTTGCTCGACACTGAGCATTCACTCAGACGCTGAAATGTTCCATAGTTCATTTACACAGCTAGCACCCAAACCAGAGCACATGACTGAGGCACAGTCATCCTTACAGCAAAGCCCTGCCCCTGCTACCATACCTACACTTACTCCCATGTACTGGGAGTCATATTCCACACTTTGCTGGGCTGATTCATATTGTGCTTCCTTTCCATTGGTTGTGTCAGGGACAGAAGAAGGTCTGTCTTTCAAGGGGAAAGATAGGAAGGTCACTGAAGGACTAACAACACTTGGCCTGCTCCCTTCCTGCAATTTGGGCTTCAGCCCACATTCAAAGTTAATTCCACATCTAACCCACACTCCTAGCCCTCAGAACACCTTCAGATTTGAGTCAGAGGTTCTTCTTTGTGAATGGAGGGGGAAGTAAGGTTAAAACCCAGTCAGGGCCCACATTAACTCTTCAGGGCAGGCATAGCCACAGCAGACAGGATTAAGTCCAAATTTGGAGCAGTTGAGTGGGAACATGCTAGACTAGAAAAGGAACAAGTTCATGATCACTTTGCCTCCCTTGCCATCAATGGCTTAGGAGCAATACAGACATACTGTTCTTTTAAAAATAAAAGTGCAGCCACAAGTGCTGGTGGTTTCTTTTATTTATACCAGAAAATCTTTTCTCGTGGAACAAACAAAGAGTGTTTGTCTGCCTCCTCTACAACTTCCCATGCCACAAAACATGTGGAAGGCTCTCTTGAGCACAAAAGGGTAGGGGCTGAAGCTAAAATTACAGTCTCCAACCAGAGTGAATCCATCCCAAATAAAAATGTGTTACAGCTCGACATCTCAGAGCAAGCACAAAATGACCAAAGACACAAAATCACTTTTTAACCCAACCCCAAAGCCTCCAAAAGCTTCAGTGGAAGAACTACAGGACTGTCCTCATGGAAGAGAGGTACATCATTGTCTCCTCTTTGCAGAAGAGAAGTTGAGGTACAGAGAGAGGACCTCCAAGGTCATACAGCAGGATGGAAGTAGAGCCAGGAAGGTAATGCCAAGAGTCTTGATTTCTAGCTCACAGATATATCTGCATCGCAGAACCAGAAATAGCACCAAGGCAACAGCACCAGAGTCTCACCACTCACATTGCCTGATCGACTTCTCCCGTGATCCCATTAGCCTTCTTGGGACAGATAAATAAATTGTTTGATTCTTCTCCTCCCCAGGAAGGTAGCCGGACAGAACAAATGGCACAGATGAGGACACTAGCTCTTTTCTACCAACAGCAGAGGACTGGTTACCAAAATAAGCTTCACAGCAGGCTCCATTTTGATCCCTCTGGAATCACTGAACCT